TCCACTTGCACACTTAATCCTCTGAGGAAAAGGTAGCTGCAGGTGGAAGCCTGAGTCCTGGCTTTTCCAGCTTTGTCTTCCCACGGCCATCTGTCTTGTCCACGCTGCTCTCATCCTAGGCTTTGTTTGTGCGCTTCCTTCTCCTCTGCAATCTCCACCATTGCCATCCAAATCCTGGTTCCTCACATTCTGTCCGTCGACTGTACGTCACAGCACCAACTGAGTGGTCATGAATGCCTCACAGAATAGAGAATCTGCCCTTACTTGTATGCAATCAAATGGTGGCCAAGACTTTGTGGTGCCACTATTATAACCAGTATGCTTTGCTGCGTATCCTGTAGGTTAAAGCATCTTCGGCCAGTGAAGACCCTAACAGCACAGCAGAGATCAGTGAGCAAGAGGCCTTGGAAAGGCAATGCGGAAACATGAAAGCCATTCTGCAGGCCTATCGCTTTACAGGTAGGCCTTTGTTCTGCTCTGACTCGTTCTTAGTTGGCTAGCTGTATTAGGCTAAACTTGGTTCCTGAAAACTTATTTGCATACACTGCTATACATGCACAAGCTGGCGTGTTGCTTTTAGGCCTGCCTACCTGTAAGATCGGCCTCTTTGGACAGTAAAAGATTGGTAGTGGTGGCTGGCTGAAACTATTACTTTGCGTGATAGTCATTAGCTAGACCCTCTACTACAGTGGCTTCAACCTGTGAGTCGTGATGCCTAGGGGGCGGGTGTCAAGTGACCCTTTCACAGGGCTTGCATGTCAGATATTTACATTATGATTCAAAAAAGTAGCAAAATTACAGTTGTAAAGCAGCAGTGGGGAGCGGGACTCAAGGCCTGCAGCTCTGGGCAGGTCCTGCTGAAACTTTGTTCTCTGCTTGCCTGTGATGTGGGAGTGGTCATGGTTTGAACTTCAAATCTTTGTTTCAGCATAAATAGGAATTTGCTCTTTGTCTATGCGACAGAGGACTATGGGAAGAACTGAGTGAGGACCATCGTAAATTAGAACTCAAGAGAATAAAAAGAATACATAAAATTTTCTAGCTTTTCCCTCAGCATTTGATATTTAGGATATCTTCTCACTTCCTCATCTTTCCAGAATTTTAACTCGGATTCACGTGAGCCAGTCAGGGAGAGTGTCTGATACCATTTATTTGGCCAGCACTGGTGCACACTGTGTATCAATATACCAGGCCTTCTGAAGGCTGCCAGAATGCCCAGACCTAACCCACAACTTCTGATTGACATCTGAGAGGTGTTGTCTCACCGTTTGCCTAGGACTCAGCGGGAAGCTGACCAGCCGTGGAGTCTGTATGTGCATCAGCACTGCCTTTGAGGGGAACCTACTGGATTCCTACTTTGTAGACCTCATCATAGAGAAACCGCTCCGGATTCATCACCACTCCATCCCAGTCTTCATCCCTCTAGAAAAGATAGCCAGAGCATACCTACAGACTGACATCCAGCGCTTCCTGTTTAGTCTCTGCGAGTACCTAAATGCCTACTCAGGGAGGAAGTACCAGACAGACCAACTTGAGGTATTTGTGTAGGGGTTTTGTGTCTGATTTTATTGCCCATGACAGACTTCAAAGGAGCATGGCTTTTTTTTCTTTTCTTTTCTTTTAAGACGGGGTTTCACTGTGTTAACAGCTCTGGCTGTCCTGGAACTTGCCTTGTAGTCTGGCTGACCTTGAACTCACAGAGATCCACCTGTCTGCCTCCTGAGTTCTGGGGTTAAAGGCGCGCACCTCCATGGAGCATTCATTCTTAAAGGTTTACTTTTGAGACAAAGTTCTTCAATCCTAGCTGGATATGTGGCCCCGGCTGGTATTGAACTTGGGCCTATATACCAGTCTCTGCCTCCTAAATGCTTGGATTACAAATGTGTTCCAACATAGCTGATTTATTTATTTATTTATGAAGATTTATTTCTTTATTATATATGCTATGTTCTGCCCACATATACACCTGCATGACGGAAGAGGGCACCAGATCTCATTACAGATGGTTGTGAGCCACCATGTGGTTGCTGGGAATTGAACTCAGGACCTCTAAAAAAGCCAGCAGCCAGTGCTCTTAACCTCTGAGCCATCTCTCCATCCCGTTTTTATTATATATAAATTTATTTTTTGCAAGGCTGGAGATTGGATCTAGGGCCTTGGCATGGTGGGAAAGTACTCTGCCACTAAGCCATACCCCAGCCCTCATGTTTCCTAACGCTGAGCCAGAAGTTTGTCCATTACCTTTACTCTATAGTTGGTTGGTTGGCTGGTTGGTTAATTTGAAACGAATTCACTCTGTAGCCCAGGCTGGTCTGGAACTCACTGTGAAGGCCAGGCCACCCTCATGAGACTCAAGAGCAATCCTCCTGCCTTAGCTGCAGCGTTGACTATAGGCGTGTGCCACACCCATTTGTGCCCTTGCTGTCTCGTACTTGTTTCCCCCTTTCGGGCCGGTTCCCTCTTCACCTCACACCCTTTTGTAGCTCTCAGTGACGTTGAAGGGCAGGTCCTGGTTATAGGGTCACAGGTCACATTCCTACTGGTGACCCTCAAATTTTTATCACAAGACAGACGGTTGCCATGCTGTTTAACTGAGCAAGGGTTTTAAGCTCTGACGTTATGTACCCAATTCTGTGCTGACCCTAAGTGCAGGTGTCCAGGATCATAGACGACTACTGTTTGTCTTCTCCTGAACTCTGGTCTGCCTTCTAAGGGTGGGAACCAGAGAGAGGCCCGAAATAAATACAAAGGAAGTGACGCTGTAGCTGGGTGGTTCCACCTCTGCCCAGGTATCAGTTAAAGAAAATATCTTTCCATACAGGATAATCTCAGTGAAACTCTTGGCAGAAATAGTATCTCCTATCTGTCCGTGATCATTCACTGAGGTGCTTCCTGCCACTGACTCCTGATGGCCCTTGGTCCCTTTGAGACAAAGTCTTGTGTGTTGTCAGCTGCAGATGTGGCCTGTCCCACACGCTGCCCTGGAGCAGTGACCGCCATTCCTCTCATTGCTCCTCCCCTGGTAGGCTGACTTCAGCGCCTTCCTCACTGGACCTCTGCAGAGAAACGCCCTGTGCAACTTGCTGTCGTTTACCTATAAAGTGGATCAGGGGCACCAGACCTTCTCCTTTAGTGCCAGACTGCTGTATGAGGACCTCACAGCAACTCTTCCCACGGATGTCACTGTGACATGCCCAGGTACGGGGGACGATGCCTCGTGGAAGCAACTGAGTGCTCTAGTTTAAGCAATGGAGTGGCGTATGTAGAGTAACGTCCATGGAACACTTAAAGCCCCTCTCTTCACAGTCTAGAAACACACTAAGGAAAGTTCGTTCCCACGGTTTTTGTCTTTGTAAATGTTAAGCACCATTATCTTAGTTTCCCCATTCCATGCCTTTCCCAAGTTGGCCAGGATTCTTTAAACTTACAATTTGTTTTCATGGGTGTGTACCCTCCACGCCCTAGATAATTAAGGCAGAGTCCTGGGGTTGTCAGTGATGAAGTTAGTACATGTTTAGTCCTCTAGAGTATGTGGCAGTTTTCCAGGGCTAGCCAGGAGACTTGTTTTCACGTGTGTAGCAGTACCATAATAATCTGACATGGGCAGTAATTTTTTTTTTTTAAAAAAGCAGTATTCTGACAATGTCACAAGTTTCACAGTCATTTTTTTTCTAAGTTCCCGTTCTCCAAATTACATTGTTCTGGTAAAGGGCAACCCCTACAGAGCTATAGACAAAAAAAAAAAAAAAAAAAAAAATTAAGTGTCATGTAGGGCTAGAGGAGCAGTGATCTGGTTCTGATTCCCCTGGTTGGATTAATGAACTTGACAGAGTCTCTTCCTTTAGGGGCAGAAGCGTCACCCCCTCACTGGGAAGAGCACAGAGCATCTCATGACATGCTCTTCCGTACCAAGCCCCTACACCAGGTGTTTGCTTCATTTTCAAAAGAAGTTGAAGAGCTAGATTTGAGCCTGGTTTCCTGAGAAAAACTATCTGGGACACATCTGCGGTGATTATATTCATGCTGCCTGCAGTCCAGGACCTGTCAGGAAAAGCTGTGGAGAGAGAACGCTTGCCTGGATACCATCCTTGTCATGGTTCTAGATGCCCATGCCGTCGGGATGACAAGGAGCTTGTTGACTTCGTGTCTGTGGACACAGGACGATTTAGACAGTTCCTTGGTTGCCTGGTCACTCAGTACAGTGCTCCAGAGCATCTCTTCCTCCACAGGTGGCGGCTGATTTGATCGTATGTATATATTCTTGCTGAAAAATCATCTAAATTGGGAGTAATTAAAGACATTTTGTGAGCATCTCTAGCTTTGGTGGGAGCTGTAAATCTACCATAGGGCTTGTGGCTCAGAAGGGAAAGTGTTTAATCTTGGGTTTGGGGTAGCATGTTTTAGGCCACTATTTGGTGGGTGAAACTACTTTTTATGCTTAGGAATTCTGTGTATTTAATATTTTGTTTCCTAAAATATCTTGGTTGAGAGTTGAATGCATGAAGTCACTTTGAGAAAGCATTGTTAGAAATCTACACTTCCGTCAGTGGACCCTCCCCTGTTGTGTCTCCCTCCTGCAAGCTCCAGGCACGGCTGGCTGTCCTCCTCTTCCCACTCCTCGGTGCTTTTAACATAGCTTTTCCTCCTAACCATGGGTGTCTGGTGTGCAGCATGCATTGTTCTTGGCTTAGGACTTCTTGACATCTGTTTAGACCCATCTATTGGTCAAGTTCTCCCATGGCTCTGGGAGAATGTTCTTGAACCCTGTAAAGATTTGCCACTTGTATTGGTTTGATAAAACACTGATTAGCCAGTAGCCAGGCTGGAAGTATAGGCAGGATAACAGACTAGGAGAATTCTGGGAAGAGGAAGGGCTCAGTCTGCAGTCGCCACCCAGGTGCAGAAGAAGCAAGATGAAATGCTGCACTGAGAAAAGGGACCAAGTCATGTGGCTAAACATAGATAAGAATTATGGGTTAAGTTTTAAGAGCTAATTAATAATAAGCCTAAGCTATTAGGCCAAACAGTTTATAATTAATATAAACCTCTGTGTGTTTTGTTGGGACGGAATGGCTGCGGGACCGGGCAGGACAGAAACATCCATCTACATCCCATTATAATTCCTGTTTCTCCTCTGCTAGTCCCAGGTAAGACCTTTATACTCCACAGGCCCAGTATTTGGGCTTCACTCTAAGCTTTAGCTGCTTCCTAGAAATCTCCGTGGTATAGGAGCTCCAGCAAACTCCAGGAAGAATACAGGATGTTAAGCCAGCATTGGGTCACCCTACAGAGGCATAGAATGAAAGGCTCGGTCCAGGTTTTGCCCTCTAGGCACATGGTGGGGGATGAGCTGTCGCAGTAACAGAATCGCCACAACAGTACCATCAAGTTGAGTAAAGCTTTTAATAAAACAGTCCTGTCCTTTACCAACACCTGCAGACTCTCTGTTGAAGCAGTAGCAAAGGCGGCTGTAGCAAGAGCTCAGAAGACAAGGCAATATTGGAAGGTTGTTTGTTTTTAAACAGGTTAAAAATATAAATGTAGACAATCTGTTTATATATTTTTTCTTTCAGAAATAACCCCTCCCCCTCCCAGGTGAAAGGAAATATTGCACTTTCTGCTCCCGTGACTAAGGTGACACAGGGTTCCGGAAGAACCTTTCAAGATTATCAGGAACGTGGGGGTAAGGGCCACTGACCTAACAGAGCAGGAGGAGGCAGCCTGCCCACCCGCCAGTGGAGCGCTCCTCGTCCAATGACAAGCGCTGCTCCAGACTGCAGCCAGGCGGGGAGCTGTCTCTGCGCTGAGCCCTCCCCTTCAGCAGAGCCTGCAGCACAGGCAGCTTCATCCACCTCCACCGCCATCCTACTCACAGTGGCCATGGCCTCTCTAGGGATGAGGGCTGAGCTGGGACAAAGGCCTGGAGAGGCTGTCCCAGTGCTATGCCTACGACCCCTACACTGGGGAAGCTACAGGCACACTGTGGCTAGGGATGGCCACCCTCAGCACTCACATCCACACAGGAAGGCTAGAGGAAATCTGAACCTAAAGTCTATGGGAATGTGCACGCCAACAACTTGGGAACACCAGGACTTGGTCAGTGGCCCTTTCCCAAAAGCCATTCTCCACTTCCAAAAACACCTCCCTTCCCATGTGGACCATCATGGGGGAAAGAGGCCATTCAGGAATTGTCCACGACTTGGTGGGGAAGTGTAACAGAGGAGCCGTTGGGGAAGGCGGCTGGCCTGTCCTTCCCCTTCAGGAAAAAGGTCAGGAGCTCCCCTTTGCCCTTCACAAAGATGGGGCCTCGCCTCACAAAGCGGAAGCCATACTCGCGAAGGATGACCTGTGTTTCTTCTACCACCTGCACGTGGAGAACAGACAAGGTTAGAGAAGAGGAAGCCAAGACTGGTGGGTGTAGTGGTTAGGGCTGAAGGCCCAGATGGTGCTGCTGCTTCAGTACTGTGCAGATAGACAGTGTCCAGTGCTCTACTCCAACCCATCCGTGGACATGCAGGTGTCAGACGACCATTTTAAGTCACTAGCTTCGGTTGCACATCGACTTTGTACCAAAGGGCAAGCTCTTGTTCACGCACAACTCCTAGTCTTAAACGTTGCAATGGACCAAACCCTTCTCCCCTTCTGTTAAGGCTCTAGAGGCGTGGCCCTGCAGCACTGACAACTTTGACCTGTGGCCCACAGGCCAGGGCTAGTAATGTACGGCAAAGCACACGGACTTCTTTAGTTGTATGCCCTGCATTCAACACATGCTCATTCTGGTGCCAAACATACCTGGATGTTGCCCATGACCCCTGTGGATTCCATTCTGCTGGCTACATTGACTGTGTTGCCCCAGATGTCATAGTGTGGTTTCCGGGCTCCGATGACTCCAGCCAGAACCCCGCCTTTGTTCATGCCTGGAGCAGAGAGTGGAGCATGGCCACAAGCCAAGCTTGCATTAGCCTCACAGAAGCTACCCATTTCTCTTTCAGAGATGATCACCTTATTGAAAGTTGCCTTTCTAAAGCGAAAGTCCTTGTGAAAAGTCCTGCCCAGCTATGTGTCATGCTAATACTCAGGACTGTAGTGGCCAGCTTCTCAGTGACCTTCCTGATACTTCCAACTTGTACAGACTCACAGAAGCGGTTGAGCCGCTCCTCACTGCCATATTGCAATGTCTAACTCTGAAGGGAGGCTGGGCTGCCCTTCGAACCTTAGCCATGGGCCTAGCTTGACTGTTCCTCAAAGAGAACAGGACTAAAGGTCATTGGGGCCCCTCTAGCTCTGTTAGTGTGACTTCCCCACCAGTCTGCCTTCACTTTTTAAGTCTGGTCTGCTGAGTGCCCCAGCACTGCCAGCACCCTTACCTATGCGCAACATGAAGTTGTTGAATGACTGGTTGTTGATGTTTGTGAGCGTGTCCTTCATGGCTAACGCAAAGTCGGCCAGGTCAGCCAGGTGCTGCCAGCGCTCCTTGTCTGACTTCTCCTCCTGTGTGGAAAAGTGATAACACTGTTAGAACCATCCAGAAGCCATGAGCAGCTAGGCAGAGCTGTTATAGGACAGATGTAAGGGAGCGTCACCACTGCGGAGTCCATACGTCTGTGTAAGGCAAAGACTGAGGCCCTGTCTCTCGCTTCCTGTGTCTGTGACTGTAACAAGGTTACGGTTTGAGTCTGGGCCTGCCTTGGTTCCTCAGGATCATAAGCACGTGATGAGCTACCTTCAGCTTGCATTACGTAACTCAGAAAGTAGAGATGGAAAGGAAAACTAGATGATTTAAGAGCAGTGCTCGGCTCCAAGAATCCCATAGTTCCTAGAAATCACAGCAGGCTCCACGGTCTACAGTCACAGTGGCTGAGAGTTTCCAGGGCTCCCCTCGGCATCCACTGCCCCAGAACTGACAGTTCTTAAACAGTATGGGGCGATGTGCGAATGAGCCCTTTGCACGAGGATGTTCATCTACTTTTCACCTGATCCCCATTTCCCACGGGCTGAGGCTGGCTGCCTGGCCCTGACACTGCTGCCATCTCTACCTTGCTGGAGCTCGTAAAGCCATTGGTATTGACATCTGGGGTGACTCCTGAAGCTGCCATATAGGTGCTGCCAATGGTTTTGATCTTGGTGATGACCCGGAATTTGGGGTTGTCCAGGAGCTGAGGACAGAATTAAGAGAGTCAAGGGAAGAGGAGTGAGTTCGTCAAATTCGTCTGTCTTACAAGGATCAACAACACATCTAAAAGACACTTTCCTATAACAGCTTTAGTCATTTCATGCTACCTTGGCACACCATCCTCAGCCTCAATTTCCATGTCTTAGTGTCAGTGGATAGTCTCCTTAGGTGGTGGAGCACCTAAGAAGTGTCCAGTCAATGTTAAGGGTTTGTGGGTAGGAGAAACGGAAGTCCTTAACCTTGTGCACTTGCCAGGGCTGTCCCAGGATCCTGCCTCACCCCTCAGACTTGTCAGTACTGGATGGCTGCAGAGGTGCAATTATAAAAGTCTCCTGTGGGAAATGAAGCCAGCCTAGCATAGCTTGCTTCTTTGGCTCGTGCAGAAGGTCTTGGGCTGTGATAAAAGGTGCTAGCTAGCTCTATGACAGGATACTCACGGAGTCAAAATCAGAGATGATCTCATTGAGGAAGCGTAGACACTCAATCCCACCATTATTGATGCTCTCCTCGGTGTAGAAGTCAGCAAAGTTGGGCAGGGAGGCAAACATGACTCCAATCTCATCATAAGACTGGCTGTACAGCTCCTGTAAAGAGGCCAGGCCAGGCTAGGACAAAGTGCTCGCTGCACAGTTGTGAGGACTAGAGGCAGGCTGGCAAATCAGTAAAGTAAAACAGCCATGTGGAAGCCTCCATCTGAACACATGCATACATACCACACACACAACAAAGGCAGGACATGATCATGCGAGGGATGGCTGCCTGATAGGACAACATATGAGAAACCTGTCATCCTTCCGTATGACCCAACTTTGAGTAACTAGCAAAAAGCTGGTTCCCACGATGAATAAGATTTCCTAGCCCTTGTGACAGCCCACTGTGCTAGCTAGTTTGATATCAACTGGAGTCATTTGGGGAACAGGAACCTCAACTGAAAAAATGCCCCTCGCCAGACTGGCCTGTGTGTAAGCCTGGAGTGTATTTCCTTGATTGACGTCTTGGCTCACTGTGGACTGTGCCACCCCCAGGGACAGGGAGGTTGTCTTGGGTGCTATAAGAAAGCAGGCTGAGTTAAGATAGGAGTACTCCTTTGCATCAGTGCCTGCCTCCGGGTTCCTGCTCTGACTTCCCTGCAAGTGTAAGATGAAGTAAAGCCTTGCTTTTCTCCATCCCAATAACAGAACCCTCTCCTGGAGGGTCAGCTGCCTTGGTTTGTGGTCTTGGTGAAAGGGGCACTCTGGTTCTGAAATGGGGTCCCAGAGATGCAGCAGAGCAGCAGAGCCCCTTAGACGAGACCCTGGGAAGGTCTGGTTAGGTCCAGCCACAACTGGACTTCCAGCCCCACTTCTCAAGGACCTGGATCCATGTGTGCAGACAGAATAGGCTCAATGGGACACCCTCTAACCTCGTCTCTCTTCTTGGACCCCAGGAAATGGCGGGCCACGTGCTCAGGCAGCATGTTGGTGACCAAGGCCTCATTCCAACGTCGCATCTCGTAGACACGTTCTTTCTGGTCATGGACCTCGATTTTCCACAAGAACAGTGTTCGTGCCAGTTTTTCCACCTGCAGGCAGAGGTCAGATGAGGTGTGCTCTAAAGCCAGCCGTCCAATGGAAATTTACAACAGGGGTTTGAATGTTGTGCATGGTAAAATGGGAAGGAAGGTAGCTAAATGGCAAAAGAGCAGGGAGGAGTCACCGAATCAACATGGCATCCCGCAGCTGCAGTGAGGACCTGGGCCTCTTGGTACAGGGGAGATCCAAGAGGCCTTTCGTGTGTGTAGGGTTCTCCTGAGACTAACTTAGTTGCAGATCTGGGGAGGGGCAGAAAGGGCTCTCCCAGAACCACGTGGCATTCCCATCTCTATCTGCTCCATTTATGAAGTGGCTTAGGGATTCTGCACTTTCCCAGTAAACCACTGGGGGGCATCCAAGCTACCTGTCCTTGTATGTACACTTCATCTTAACTAAACAAAAACTTCCTTAGCTCCTTTCCCTTTTTCTTCTGAACCTGAGGTTAGTGCATCATGCCTGGGTGAGTGTAGAGGCCATGAGCCCTGCCTAAGGAACATCTCTCCATTCTGGAGGAGAGGAAGAAGAAAGCAAAGCACCACAGAGCTAGGGCTTCCCCTGTGCTGTTGCGTGATAGGTGGAGAAACTGCTTCTGAGTCCTGAGACAGTGTGGTGGGAGACCCTGCGCACAGGAGGAGAGGGTGTGTGACACTCACGTGGCGGGAGAAGTAGTAAAAGCTCAGCATCATGACGAACATCATCACAGTCATTGAGTACTTGGAAGGCACCAGGGGTGGCCTGCTGGACAGACAGGAATACGTGACGAGTGCCTTTGCCACCCTCCAGCAGGCCTATGCTGTCGCTGTGGCCATCAGAAGCTCCCCCCAGCACCTCGGTTCCTCTCATAGTCCAGGACACCCTTTCCCAGGACATGATCAGGCTATTGGACTAATCAGCCGCAGCCCAGCTTCCCTGGCCACAGGCCATTCCCATTAGGCTGCCCCTTGGATGCTGTGGGATCTCCGCACTCCTGACATATCCAAGGAGTAGCTACTACTGTGTAGTGTTTTGGAGAAAGGAAAGACATAATATACACAGAGCAATGGGACCGGGTACAGTCTCTCTGCAGTGTTTTTCCAACTTTGACCATAGTTCTGTGTGGAGTTATAGTTAACTCCCATCACCGTATACAGCTTTGTTATACAAAAAGACAATTTTATCTGTGACTACTAGTGTCATTTGAGAATTCTTGCATGTATACATATATACACACTATATATGTATATATACATACTATACACACACACAATTTTTCTAAGATGTATGTAGAAGTGGAGTTTCTGGGCCATAGGTTTCAGGTGGTTCTGTTTGAGACAGTGTCCTAGGCTGGCCTTGAACTCCTGAAGCCCTGCCTCTTCTTAGGATTACCACCACTTCCAGTTTATGCAGAAGCCAAAGCTTTGTCCATGCTAAGTGACTATTCTACAAACTGAGCTGTATCTCCAATCCCATAGGTCTATTCTCAACCAAATCCAAGCTGTTTTCTAAATGGTTAGAACAGTGTATACCATTACCAAAGAGTATATGAGTTCACATTGATCTTAATAACATATTGAGTTTGAAAAGTTGACCAAATTGCTAAGAGTATATAGTGACAGTTTTTTATGACTTTAATTTGCTTTTTTTTTTTTTGCCTTTGGTTTATTCTTTTGTTGTTTTGCTTTTTTGCTGCTTATCTAGCTGCCCTTCACTGGTGTCCATTTAGACACCCCCACCCCACCAAGACAGGGTTTCTCTGTAGCCCTGACTGTCCTAGAACTCACTATAGACCAGGCTGGCCTCAAATTCACAGAGACCCACCTGCCTCTGCCTCCCAAGGGCTGTGATTTCAAGTGTGTGCCACCATCACCCAGCCATTTAGGCTTATTTGATGAAGGGCATATTCAAGTCTCCTACTCATCCTCCATGACTATTGTCTTTAAAAAAATAAATCTCCTCGGTGCTGGAGAGATGACTCAGTAGTTAAGAGCACTGGCTGCTCCTCCAGGTGTCTTGAGTTCAAGTCCCAGCAACCACATGGTGGGTCACAACCACCTATAGTGGGATCTGGCGCCCTCTTCTGGTGTGTGGGCAGAACATTGTATACATAATAAATAAACCTTTAAAAAAAATCACTGAACCATAAAAGTCTAAAACATTAAGATGCATCTGTGAGAACATCGATGTTCTCAGAAGGTAAGACAGACTCAGGAAAACCGATCTGCACCTCACCCCACAGGGGAGTGCCAATTGCTGCAGGTAGGAACCCAGGTCTTAAATGCGCCGTAGCCCTCTTTCCTCATTTCCCTGCCAGCGGCCATCCACTTAACGACCGGCCAGGTCCACACTGGACACAGCCTCTGTCCTAACTCTAGGACAGAGTGCAGCTCCTAACTCTGCACTGAGATCATGTGCCTGTGGAAGAGTGTGGCGCTGGAGTACCGCCCTGTTACAGTTACCGTCTAGAAGGGCAGCTATGAATGCCGACAGGGAAGAAATGCAGTGACTCTTACCTGTCAGTGTCATTGAGCCCAGGGGCGGACAATACCTGCATCTTCTCTAAGGCCACCACAGGAGAGCTGTTGGGCAGGTAAAAGCATATTCAAGCCACATCTGGATGCGGGAAACTGATACTCCAAACATTTAGTGTCCCAAACCTACTCCCTGAGATGGAAAGGCCCACCTCTCCCCACTACCAGTGCCTGCCTGTGTGAAGCCCCAAAGCTGAGGAACCTGAGGTAGAAAGCCACCTCAGCACAGGCACAAGACTTCGACGTGGGCGGGGCCTGGGTGTGCGTGAGAGGAAGGGGACCACCCACACCCTCCCTCAGGCTTCATCTTACTCCTGTTCCTGAAAACGCTTGCGGTCGTACTCATCGAAGACCGGACACCAGGCATACAGGTTGATGGCGGTCACGGCGCCCGTGACGAGCAGCATGAGCGTCAGCTTCACCATGTGGCTGACCTGCACCAGCATGATGGTGGCGATGAGGGACAGCACAGCAACATAGTTGTAGTACTTGGGGTTCTCCATGCAGCCACCATCCAGCTCCATCCCGGTGGTCACGTTGTAAGGTCCCATGTAGTACTGGAGACAGCTAAGCTGGAGGCCAGGATGGGAGGGAGACATCAGTGGCAGGTCAGAGGGCCCTGTGGTGGTAGTGACAGTACCCTCGGAGATGGGACGTCTGCCAGGGAGTCAGCATATACATGTTAGCGACTGCTATGGAGCCTTATGACTGCTATGGAGCCATCCGATGTTCAGAAAGACTCACTATATACTGTTAGCACCGCCCCTACTGTCCAGAAATCCCAGAACAATTAGCAAATGGTGAAAGGGGACCCAGGAGCCAGATCTCCAGCATCTTTTCCCATCACGTCTGCTGCAAGAGAGGCTATATGGTCAGAGCTCTCTGGTGATAACTATTCTACCACCAAATTGTCCCTACTTTCTGGAGCCTGTTCACTCTTTACCCTACTGGTCCACCACAGTCAATAGAAAATGTGCCCATATGCCAGCTAAGTGCCTCTGTGTAACCTGCAGCTCCAGTGGGGCTTTGGGTAAGGAGTTGGCATGTAGTGCTTGGGTGTGCAGGACCTGTCACATGTCTCCTGATAAGAGGGATCAGGGACTTGATCCCGCATGGTGGACATCATGCCACCCAGAGACTTGCTGTCCCGACCAGGTAGGGGTCTGGTTGCAGACCTACAGCTTTTCACTTCCGTTACTTCCAGAGAAAGTTTCTAGGCCATTTTTAACTCCTGTGCTTAAGTTGTTAAGTAACAATATTCTTTTTTTAAAAAAAACTTTATTTAACCTTATTTCATGTACATTGGTATAATGATGTCAGATTCTCTGGAACTGGAGTTACAGACAGCTGCGAGCTGCCATGTGGGTGTTGGGAATTGAACCCTGGTCCTCTGGAAGAGCAGCCAGTGCTCTTAACCACTGAGACATCTTGCCAACCCCCAAGTAACAATATTCTTGAGAAGGATTTCTGAGAGTACATACAGTATTACCCAGCTTGAACAACCCATAACTGTGAACAGTGACAGTACCTGCCCCCTTTCCCTTACAAGGCCTCTGGCTTCCCTCTCACGGGACCCTAGCTCTCCATGAACTGAGGAGAACAGAAGATGATCTTGTCTCCCCGGAGCCACATGGGCTCTGTGAGTCTGTGTTCCTGCTCAGCCACCTCTGGGAACAGAAGAGGTCTATGTGATGAAACGGCTCACATCCTCAACCCAGTGGGTACCCAACACTAGCTACACTTCAAGGGACACGCCCCAGGAATGCTCTTATTGGACCTCTTAATCCCTGTGATGGAGGAAGACGTCTCAGGCCTGGTGTGTGTGTGTGCGCGCGCGCGACAGTGTACATACCCAAGATGCATGTGTTTCTAGAAGCCAGAACAATCTCCTGTTGTTCCTCAGGTGCCATCCACACAGGGTCTCCCACAGGCCCAGGGCAACTCAAGAACTAAGCTGGCTAGCCAGTGAACCCCAGAGATCCCTGTCTTCACCTCTCCATCACTGAGACTAGAAGCACACACCATGCCTGGCTTTTTTCACATGCATTCTGGGGATGAAACTCAGGTCCCAAGCAATTGACCAACTGAGCTATATCCCAGCCTCTAGAACTGCTTCAATTTTTGACTTTGTTAATGACCGTGTGACCTAAAACAAATGAACAAACCTCTCTGAACTTTAATTCCTTCGTGTGAAACTGCAGACAGAGATGTGCCTAGCCAAGGACTGGGAACACTGGACTGTGGTTGGGGGTACTACGAGGACCTAGGTTAGTCTTGGGAGTTGTCTGAAGACCCTCTCCACCTGGCTGGGATGTTCAGGGTCAGATTCATCCACCTGAATGTATGCTGCAGAGGAATGGGCCAGCAAGCTGCCAGTGTGCAGCCCCACCCCCTGTTTTTAGCACCCCCCCTCTCCACAAGGAAGCAAAAGCTCACCATGTCCACAACATTGGCCATAACCAGAATGAAGATGGCTAACATGGCCCAGGTGTTTCTGGCCCAGCGGGTCCGGTCAATCCAAGATGAGAAGGCCACAAGCTTCTTAGGAAACGCCTAGGAGAAATGGGGTTTCAAGGGTTTGAGCCTCCACCCGCATGCCCTGAAGACACTACTGGCTGCTCCCCTGCTCTGGTCCCAGAAACCCAAAAGGCCATGCTTTGCTTGTGAATCCCCAGAACTGAGGGAGGGAGTTGAAGTGTGCAAATCCTCGAGTTATCTGTACAGCCCTAGCCAGGTCATAGCTCCTGGCTAGCAGAGTGTGTGGGCCACACCCAAGGCAAGGCCCGGGCAGGGGACAGCATGCAGGGCTAGCCACCTGCCCAGCCACCTCCCTCTTCCTTTTTCTGGTCAGTATACATAATTCCCTAAGGTTACCTGGCAGGTGGCCTATTAGATTGATTTCCCTAAGGCATTGCTTCCCCACTGTTATTTTGACCAAAAGCTGCCTGGCATTTGAGTGCCCGCAGAAGTCTCTGTCGCTTTAGCTGGTTCTTGAGGTCCAATTGAAGCCAACCCACCTTCCAGCTGGGCTGCCCCTGACTGTCTTACTCATGTTTAATCACAAGATCCCAGGCTACAGAATGGACGGCAGGGTATAGATGGGGGTGCGGATGGATGAATGGGAAAATGTCCGACCCCCACAAGTCTGTCAGGATTGGACCAGAAGCCCAGTCCCATCATTTACATAGTGCCAGTCTCTAGCGACCAGAAGGTTCTGAGCTCAACTGAAGAGCACCTCTTACCCTGGGAAAGATGGCCGCCAGCGAGCAGATGGTCAGGGTCAAGAGCAGAACCTCCCCAACCACGAAGGTCACGTAGTTTGTCATCAGCCTGGGACAGAGAGAAGGTGACTGGGGAGTACAGAGGCCAGCTGAGCACAAGCCTGAGACTGGCAGCTCCTATGTGACACCAGGGAGCTGCTGTTGCTGGCCCGGCAGTAACAAGATGAACAGCCCTAGCAGAGAGGAATGCCAGCCAAGGGTGGGGCCTGGGAATGCACCACCCTTTAGCTGCTAACTGTCCACTGGGACATCTCCGGAGGCGAGGAGGGTCAGAGATGCCCTGGAAATAGCTCAGTTATAGCCTGGGAAGGGAGTCTTAGGAATGACCATCAGCCCCGTAGCTGGGGTGAAAACCGTAAAGACTAGAACACAGAAGTTGTGCCGAGGCTGCTAACGTGACCTCTGACTGCACAGAGCCCAGGGAACGAGTTCGTCTCACATCCATTTCTCCCTCCACTCTGGGAAATCCGTCCCCTCCAGATCCTTCTATCCGTTCCCATTTCACTCCTCCGTGGGGAACACTCTCGCCAAGAGCTCCAGAAACTCAGGTTGAATTCCAGTATCCAACTCAGGGTCACCTCTTACGTTTCTCACTTGGTTTGGGGATCTCTTCAGTCCCTGTGATTTCTCTCGCCACACACACGACTTAACTGGCTTTTCCGCCCACTCACTCTCCGTTCGTGATCTCAGTGAGCCTCGTGCTCCCAATGTGCTCTGTGTGGGTAGCTCTCAGGTTTGCACCACCAGCCTCTCCCTGAGCCCCAGACTAGATAACTCAGCTGCCTCAAGGGCAGTGCCACACAGGAAACGCAAACTCCAGATCCCTGCTGCTCTGGTACGTACGCTTCCTCCTCCTATATTCTCAGCCTTGGTTAACGCAACTGCATCCTGGCCATTGCTCAAATAGAAAAGAAGCCCTGAAGATGTCCTTGCCTCAGCCCTTTCAGGCTCCACAACAAATCTGCCAGTGACTCCTTCAATCTGTCCCCAGAATCCAGCCATTAATAAAATTAAACGCCTAACCCCTCATCCTCACCTTCTCTAACTCTACCTGGCCCAATTCACCATCGGTTACCTCAACCACCAACATCTCTTAGCCTGGTCTCAGGTTCTATCTTGCATACTTGCCTGTTCCAACACAGCCGGGGGGGAGGGGTCCCCTTCTCAAGTCTGTGCCCTGTTGTAGCTTTCCACCAGCCTCTGTGTCCTGAGAGCATGAACTGTGCCCAGCTCTCTACCCTAACCCCCATCACTGTCCTACAACACCCTGGCTACCAGCACCATCCCCACACTATGACTTGAGGGGCCTGGCCCACTACTGCCTCTGTGCCTGCCTGAGGTAAGTGTCCCCAGAGAGCTCAAGGCTCACTCCCCAGTCCCTCAGGACTCTGCTGAAAACGCCACCTTGCCAGCGAGGTCTGCTGTGACCACCCTACAAAAGCGTACAAACCAACCCCCCTCCCGGGCCCTATCTCCCTCCTCGCTTTACCTCACACTCACCATGCTGCGAGCTCGCTTTCGTGTTTAAATGTTCACTCCGGTTCCCACCACCACCCCCGTGAGGTGCAACCTTCACAAGAGCTTGCTTCCTGTGTTGGTCCCCAAGCCCAACACAGCATGAGCAAACCGCATGGCTCTAAATCTCACAACGGTCTTGAGAGCCATTCAGGGTGGGTCACCTCACTCGGGAGATGAGCAAAGGGGTGCTCAGGGTGCCTTCCGGGATCTGCCATTGTCCTGCTTACAGAACCTTGGACCCTGCAGCCAAGTCCCAAAGGTTTTGACAGCTCCTCAACCTAATCCAAGGAGGGCCCCACCATCACTCTGCTGCAGCTGCTGGAGACGGCAGAAGGGAGGTGCTGGCTTGTCCCCTGAGGCCAGGAAGGTGATAATGAACCTTCGGGTAGGGCTTCCACAGCTGAGCTGACTCTGGAAGACCCTGCCTCACCCCAGAGGACCTGCCACTGACGTCAGTTTGTGTCTAGAGCCTAAAATCTAGTTTCACAAAGAGGAGCCAAGAAGGGAACGTCAGTGTGCTCTCTCTGACTAAAGCTGAGGTGATATCCCCACTCTTGTCCCTAGAACCTCTCTAGGAGCCATCTAGCCATGTTCTCCATCCTGGATGGGTACGTCACCAGCTTTCCTGGCCCTGCCCAGATCCCTTCTGGGGTTGGCTGTTGCTGTGGAATCTGGGCAGGGGTCAGAGACAAAGAACAGAAACAAGGCCGGAGGTGCCTGCCCCTGACACTGCTGCCGCCCCTCGCCCAGCTCCCGCTCCTGGCCTGTTAGCCTCACCCTGAACTTCCTCACCAGGGGTCAATAAGTATCTCCACCATGGCGGTGCAGAAGAGGACCACGCAGGAGCAGCTGAAGGCCGCCCCACTCTGCTTCTCCTTCTCCACCGAGTAGCGTGTTTCCATCTCTGGGTCCATGAACCGCATGGTTAGGAGGAATGTGTTTCTCTTCTTCACCCTGCCGTGGAAGCAAGCCTCGTGACCCGCGTGCCACACCTGCGAAGACGGCTGGGATGGGGCCTGGCTTCCGAGAACTGTTCCCTGCACTGAGTAAGGACCGACCACTTACACCTGGGCAGACTCCCGCTCCAGCAGGGCCTCGTTAAGCAGCTGGTTCAATTCGTGCTCATCCTCAGAGGCATCCACCACGCGGTCGGCCAGATCCTGGAGGCGCAGCCTGCGGCGGGGGTTGGGGAACGAGGGGTTGTCGGCCTGGAAGCCAGGGAGGCAGAGTCAGTGGGATAGATGGAACACGTGGGGGGAGGGTATGAGAAAGACCAATGAAGAGGAGGGGCCACACTCCTGAGGACCAAACCCTTTCCTAGGTTCCGCCCTGCCTCCTTGGGTCTCCTTGGGTCCCTAAAAGGAGGTCTACAGAAGCTGTCCACTAATGGCTTTGGGGAACAGCAGCCTGGCTCTGGGGCCAACTTAGCATGGGCTGGGACAGCTTGCTGTTAGATTCCACAAGAATCCTTACATATGGTCGACTTTGGGATCAGGTATAATTTCAGCCCTAGGACTCAGGGATCAGCTACTAGTGATCTAATGAGAAAGGGCTAGCCGAGCTGGGGCATCCACTACCACTTCCGTCCCCATCAGAAAGAGAGTAGCAACTCGGAAACAGAAGCCAGGGTTGGGTCACACAACCACAGTCCGAGTGGTCACTGCCTAGACCCTCTAGAGCTGTGGGTCTGAAAACACATCCGAAGCCAGCACTGAGACTCCTGGTTTGAAACTCAGCACTCCTGCTGGCTGCCTGATCCCAGACCATTTCTCTCCCCTGTAAAATGCTGTGGATGGCCTGCCTGGCAACAAGAGTCTCTTCCCATGGAACACAAGCTAGATATGAGTGACACCCACTAATGATTAGGGCATGAAGTCAGAGGCTTCTTAAGCCATGTCAGAGCCAAGCTACATAAAGTGTGAGCCCCCTTCTATCAGGAAAATTATTCATAATGAGCTTTTTTTTTCTTTTTCTTTTTTCTTTTTTTTTTGGGGGGAGGATGTTCAAGACAGGGTTTCTCTGTGTAGCTTTGGAGTCTATCCTGGAACTGCTCTTGTAGACCAGGCTGGCCTCGAACTCACAAAGATCCGCCTGCCTCTGCCTCCCGAGTGCTGGGATTGAAGGCGTGCGCCACCACTGCCTGGCAAAATAAGCTTTTTAAAAATATATAATTTTATTTTATGTGCATTGGTGTTTTGCCTGCATATGTGTCTGTGTGAGGGTGTGACATCTCCTAGAGCTAGAGTTACAGACAGGTGTGAGCTGCCACGTGGGTGCTGGGCAGTGAACCTGAGTCCTCTGAAAGAGTAGCTAGTGCTCTTAGCCGCTGAGCCATCTCTCTAGCCCCACAAAAATTATTCTAAGGACAAGCAGCCAGATGGAAGCTCAAGGGAAAGTCAGTTTCTATGAAACGCTGTGTGCCTTCTCCAGCATTTAAAACCTCGGGCACAACTCCTGTCTCCTCTCGCAGGGATTACCTACTGAGAGAAGGTGTGTGTCTAGATACAAACGCACTCCCAACAGGCTCCCATCCTGCAGAACCCTCACAGACCCTAAATCTACAAGACTGGGCTTCTTCAGCTAGACGATGCTTCAGGGGTGTGCCCTGGGGGACTTCATTCTCTCGCATAACTCTATCTACACTGCTGAAAAGGAACAACCTGGGCTAGCGGCCAGTACCCTCCTTCCAGCATAAGTTCCCCTACAGCAACCTGCTGCTGCTCCCCATGCTGGCCCACTCACCTGAGCCTCCTGCTCTTCAGCCTCCTCTGATGTGGAGCCGCTGGCATGGGCGCTCCCGTTGGGCTCCTTGGTCTCGATAAGGGCAGGGGAGCTGGGTTTGGACGATGCCGGCGCTCCATTTGGCAGAGCCTGTGGCGGCAAAGAGTGTCCATGAGGGCACGAAACACTGCCTTCTAGCTACCCCAGCCTGCGGCTGTTCTGTTATTGTTCCAGAAACTTCTTCCTACATTTATAGAAGTCTGCTGACCTAGAAATTTCACCACTCATTTCATCCTCTACGACATTCATGTTTTACATGCTGTCATTTTCTAATATTCATTGCTATGAATAGTTTTCTAAACAGAGCAAAGACTCAATTGTTCCACCTCCTATTTCTAAGACACCAACTCGATGGCAGAGCCGAGGCCTCTTTGGTGGGGGCCATGTCAAGTCTGAATAGCTTCCACAAACTTTAGATTAGTGTTTGTCCTTGACAGAGTGAGTCAAACACAGAAAGGGGGGAACCGTGTGCTTGCCAAACTAAGAAGTATTTGTTGAGATCTGACTTCTTGGAATCCACATTTTCATGAGGAAAGGCAGACAATAGCAAAATAGGCCAGAGAAATAAGTAGTCATAAGAAAACAGAAGAGAGTATGAAAGAGGCTGTGGGGACTGCTGGGAAGTCCAGCCAGAAAGAGGGTCGTGTGGGGGTCACTATGAAGATGCCGTTTCAGAATAGACCCCAAAGAGCATTCGAAAGACTGGGGCAGAATTACAGGGAGACTGAGCGGCTAGCAGCAGGCTGTGCTCAAGGACGTGAGAGAGCCAATAGGTCATCTCTGCTGGAGCAGGAAAAGCAGAGGGGAGAATGTGGCAGAGCCCATGCTGGGGCCAGGCCCAGGGCAGGGCCCCCCAGGACACCGCTACTGGTTTTGCCCTGTTCCGTCTTCACACCCAGCCTTGGCTCTCCTCTTCCTTCGTGGCCAGCCCCACTGCCTCTGCATCTCCGTCCCCCTTGGTGCCCATGTCACTACAGAAGCTTTGGACACTTCCGCACTTCCAGTGGCCTCTCCCTTCTGATACTGTCATGAGACATACTACAGTTCTCCTCACTCCAGCCTGCACACATGACACTTTTTCCCCTCAGAATCACCTTCTGAAGGAAGTGACCACCAGGTTTGGTGACAGGGGACCCAGACTCATTTTTCACACCGCTCCATCTCTTGTTATGGTCAACTACCAGCCAACCTTTCTATAGCCACTCTGTTTTCATATATATATATATATTATTTTTTGAGATGGGGTCTTGCTGTTCGTCCCAGGCTGGCCTTGAACTTGCTTTTATAGCCCAGGCAGGTCCTGAACTTGCGGTGTAGCCCAAGCTGGCTTTGAACTCCTGTCTTAGCCTCCTGTATTCTGGGATTGCAGGCGTGTAACACCACACCTGGCTAATTGTTCTCTTCTAAATCTCTCTCTTTCCTCCTCTCTGCTCTTAGGATCTGACAGGGGACTCACCGAGCCATTGAGACCATTTTGAGCTGTTTTCTTCACCTCTGGCTTGGAGGCAATGATGAGGTAGGTTTCGATGCCCTTCTCATCTAGGTAGTCACAGCGGCTGCCCCCATCGCCAGGCTCTACATCAAACTCCCCCTTCAGGCAGTCCATGGTGCTCTGGGAGATGTGCACACGCCTGCAGTACAGTGAAAGACCCTGCGCATGCACCAGAGGTAGCGTTTGCCTGCCCCAGAGGCAGGCAGCAGACCACATAGCACTGGCTGATGCTGGGACCACACCATCCAGGGCGTGTGTGGCAGAGAGCAGGGAGTAGACCTGCTGCTAACTAGCTGTGTGGGCAGCATGGTGCCCACTGCTCTGAGCTTCAGTCCCATTGGTTGTTGAACTCTTAGAATTGCAATGTAATTTTCTCTCCTAGCTGTCTAGGAATCAGATGAGGGGCTAGAGAGATGGCTCAGCCGTCAAGAGCACTTTCCGCTCTTCCAGAGGACCAGAGTTTGATTCCCAGCACCTACATCAGGCAGTTCACTGTCTGTAACTCCAGCTCCAGAGGATCTGATGTCTCTGGTCTCTGCAGGTACCTGCATACCATGCATGCATACCCACAGACTAATAAGAAAGAAAGCTTTCAAGGAGAAAATGATATACCAAATTTCAACTCCAGCTCTGAACTCTAACTTCAAGAATTGGATTCTCTCCACCTTGCCTCCCCTGCTGCCACGGGGACTAAAAGTCACATAGTCACTAAGGAGAGGACAGGAACTGTCTCTAATGAGGCCCCAAGGGCAGGCAGGTGGGCCAGGCCCTCCCACAGCCTGCCCAGGGACAGGCGCCTGAGGGTAGTGTCCCAGAGGCTGGCTGTGCTGGTTAGATACTTTTGGTCAACTTCACACCAACCAAGAGTCACCTAGCAATCCCCTAGGCGACAGGCAATTTCAACTGAGCAATTGCCCAGATCAGATTGACTTGTGACCATGTCTGAAAGAAAAGATCTAAACTGATGATTGATGTGGGAGGGTCCAGCCCACTGTGGGCAGCATCATTCTTAGGCAGGTGGCTCTCAACTGTACAAGAAACCCAGCTGAGAGTGAGAGACTAAGCCAGTAAACTGCTCCCGTTTCTGCTTCGCTTCCTACTCTGACTTCCCCTGATGATAAACTGGAAGTGTAAGCCACATGAATCCTTTCTTCTGCAGATGACTTTTGGGCAAAGTATTTCATCACTGGAACAGAAGGTAGGGGACACTGCTCCTGGGAGGGATGGGATTTGGGGGCCCCTTGTCCCTCATTAGGGTCATTGCATACAACCCCCTGGAAGGAGCACTCACCCTGGGATGCCACCGGCCTCCATCTTGTTAGCCACAGTGACATCAGTAGACCACACGTCATACTGCCAACGCTTCTGGCCTAAGACACCACCCAGCACGGTGCCTGTGTGCACCCCTACACGCATGTCCACGCCAGTCTTGGTCTTCTCCCGCACATACCTGCCAGGTACAGAGAGGGGACGCTGGGTAGAACATGGCATCCTGAGGTGCCCAGCAGCCTTTGCCTTGCGGGCCACCCTCTGGGGTGAGAGGACCTCATATGTCTCCTCTAACTTTCTGCCTGAGCTAAGTGGCCTGCACTGGGGTTAACACAAGTCAGAGCCCAGATTCAGTGCCGACAGGCAGAGATATAGTGATTTCCCCAGGGGACCGCCCATTTCTCTCTTCCATCCCTCATGCATTCTTGCAGTTCGTGTTTCATTGAGTGTGTGTCTGGTGCATTCCACATGCTGCAGATGCAGAGATGACTGAAAACTGCAGCTCGCCCCTTGCCTGAGAACTCCAGCAACAACAAACACAGTTCAGAGATTTGTGTTCAGGCCCAGAAGAAACTACGGACAAATGAGTAACTATGGCTCCTATTAGCACACCAAAGTGCATGCCGGGGCATGCTCTCTCAGCATTGAAAATATCTGTTATGGAGTCCACGTGGGCATCCAGGCTCTTTGCCCTGCCCCCTGTCCTAAACTTCTCCAGCTCATTCATGGGCTTCCCTTCCCCAGCTTCTCATTCCTACATACCCAGCCTTTTCCCTTTTCCACATGAGCGCTCTCTCTCTCTCTCTCTCTCTCTCTCTCTCTCTCTCTCCTCCCACCTAAGTCCAGTCTGCTGGCCATGTACCGTGCACCACTTTCTCTCCCTGCCCTGGACTCTTCCAGATGCCTCTGGCTCTTCTCTCCCTCCCATCTACAATACAAACCTTCCCTTCCACCATTCTTGGAGTGGTTATGCCCGCTGGAAACCAGAACCAGGATTGAGCCTCCTTCCGTATCTCAGATAGTTCCTCCATGGTGCTGCGCAGCTGGCCACACCACCCTCCCAGAGGCACCCACTTACGAGATGGCCTCCACCATGGCAAGCCCCATGAGGATGGAGCACACGGCGTGGTCCTCCCGGTAGTCAGGCAGGCCACAGATGCAGTAGTAACAGTCCCCCAGGATCTTGATCCTCAGCTGGTGGTATTTCTGGAGGGGGCAAGAGCATGGTTTGTGCTCCCGGCCCCTGGCCCTGGAGGAAAGGTCTAGCAGGTGGAGGAGGGCCAGGGAGGGAAAGCCTAGGAGCCACGGACAGGGCTGAGGGTTGCAAACCACGGCAGCGGAGGGGTGGGCACGTTTGGTACTTACAGCCGCCAGCTTGTCAAAGCGGGCAAAGAGCTCATTGAGGAGCTTTACGAGCTCCTGGGCGCTGCAGGCGGAGGACAGCTGGGTAAAGCCCACAATGTCCGCAAACAGGATGCTGCAGAAGGAGAGGGCCACAGGGGGTAAAGGAGAGGGCCACAGGGGGTAAAGGAGAGGGCCACAGGGGGTAAAGGAGAGGGCCATAGGGGGTAAAGGAGAGGGCCACAGGGGGTAAAGGAGAGGGCCATAGGGGGTAAAGGAGAGGGCCATAGGGGGTAAAGGAGAGGGCCATAGGGGGTAAAGGAGAGGGCCATGGGGGTAAAGGAGAGGGCCATGGGGGTGAGACTACAGACAGTGACTCCACCACCCGCTCCTGCCACAGGGAAATGCCTTACTCAGCTCTAGTTAGTGAAACCCTGGCATGACCCGAACACTGGTGCTCATCCCCTGCAAAGACCCCTCCTGGGGCCTGCCTGGTGACCACCACCCCATCTCCCTCCCGCCCCTGACTGAAGATCTTTCTAGAATCAGAGGTCCTGGCTCTAGTCTCAGAGCTGGTCCTGAATGGGTAGGTGACCTCCCAAGAACCCCTTTTCTGGGTGACACTTCTTCAGTGACAGGTTAGAGCAGGCAGGCTAACACACACTTTTCATTCTGCCATCCACTGGGACAGTCCCTCCAACAGGGCTGAGTTTAGGGCAACCAAGACACACACTGAGGGCTGGCCTTGGCTCTAGTCCTTGGGAAAACCAGACCCCGTGAAGCAGTGTGCCTCGCTGGCCCATCCTGCCATCAGTGCCTTTTCGCCGCCGCCATACCTGACATTCTCGTGCCGGTACATGTACATGGTGTTGAACTGCTGCTGGTCCTTCTGGCTCTCGTCTTTCTTCATGTCCTTCAGCATCTCGTCAGCCACGTGCTTCGGCAGGATGGAAAGCATGAGGTTCTCCTGCGAGGAAAAGCACGGGGTTGAAAGGGAAACGACCTGCACTCCTTCTACAGGGCCAACCCCTGATGCTGGTGAGCGACATCAACCAGGAACTACACAGCCTCGCACAGAGGCCCCAGGGCCCATACGGCAGCAGCCGAAGGCCAGGCTGGGCAGTTTCTGACTGTGATGAGGCTCAGCATCATAATGACTCTGAGTATCACTGACAGGGATAGGAAATGCCCCCAGACGGACTCTAGTGCATCACATTCCTCTTTCCGTAAGAACTGTGACCATCCCTGTGTCTGCCACTGCACCAGTCCCTCGCTACTGAGCCCTTTCCACGTCACCCACTGACCTGTCACAAAACAACTGCCAGTTCAGACTCAACCTGATTTAAGACTCAGATACAGATGATCTCAAAGCTAACAAGAACTCTCCCAGAGCCTCGGGTCTCCTGGGGACCCAGGTCAGAATGCGCCCTGCACTGCAGGGCGACACCTGAGGCCCACCAGGCTAAGAATGGCATTAGTTTGCTAGGAATGGAGACAGCGGAGGCTACCAAAGCAGGGAGCTGAGTACCATGTGAGGAAGGGGTCAAAACCCACCCAGTGAGGCAGGGGTACCCAGGGGCCTTCCCGGAAGTGAGATAAAGCTAAAGTCTTGAAGTCAGGTAAACAAAGGCCTTCCTGAGAGAGAGCTACAAATCCAAAGCAGCCGCATAGGGCAGTCCTCCGCAGCTCAAGGACTGGAGAATATTTTAGCGGCGATAGAGAGAGAACCGCTTCTCAAGTACTAGGTGGAGACAGGAGTCAGCACACTGGCCTGTGGGCCAAATGTGTTTGCTGCCTGCTTTCCTAAAGTTTTATTGGCATCCGGCCAGGCTCGCTTGTTTACACATTGTTTCCGACTGTCTTCACACTCCAACAAGCGTTGAGTGGTTGCGACAAAGACCATATGCTTGGCAAAGCCAGAAATATTTGCACTCTAACTCTTTCCAGAAAAAAAAAAATCTGTGGCTTGGACATCTGAGGGGATGGCGCCAGTGCTCAAAATACAGAACCATAGAGGAAAACCAGATGTGAAGGAAGAGTTGGGAGCATGACCATACACGTGCCTAGGCCGAGGAGCCTCACAAAGCCTCCATGAGGGAGCACCCTGCAGGCAATGCTTAGGAGAAGCTCTGGAAATCATGGTCAGGGTATTGGCATGGCAAAACAAGGGTCAGACTGGGTGGAAGGAAAAGGAGACAGTAGACAGAATGAGGTGGGGGCGGGGTAGGCAGAGGAATAAAACAAACAAACAAAACCACTACCCCCCCTCCCCCCATCCCTGAGGGGAGAAGGGAAGGCAGGTCTGAGGTAGGGCAATGGGGGAAGAGCCACAGTCTAGGGAGCACATAGAGGAGGACTAGGAGGTGAAGCAGGCCAGGCCAGCCTGGGAGAAGTCCAGACTGCAGAAAAGGGCGGAGATGTGACCGAGCTACAGGCAGAGTATTGCAGCCTAACCCCAGTGGCACAGCAGATCCTGGTGACCAGGCCAGAGTAGGCCATGAGCCCAGCTGCTGAAAGGCAGGCTGGTGGCTCAGCTAGAGTCAGGAGCCACCCAGTTCCAGGGTGGCTGGGGCCTGACTCTAGCCTGGAGCGCTTGCTGACAGCCGTGCCGCTATTTTTCCATTTCCACGGCAGCCTTCTCCAGTGTTGAGAACCTCGTGATGGCATCATTACAGTGCAGGAATGAGAAGCCAAAATATCCCCAGTGCGCCCTGCCCTAGCAGAGTTCCCCAGGGCCCTGCAGCCCAGCCGAGCAAGGAAGGCTCAGGTGACCGTGGCACTTGGCATCCCCAACTCCCTGCCGGTGGGGTGGAGTCAGAGGAAGTCTGATGCAAAAATGATGGGGAGGGTGGTGTCCGGTGGGACCTGGGGACATGATCCAGAAGCTAACTTCGTCCTGTTTCACGCCTAGGAAAATAGACAGGAGGCATTGGGGAGGAAGCCCGGGGAAAGGATGAGTCTCCAAGAGGTTTCTAGAAAACCAGAGCCAGAGCCCTGCTAGCCACTAGGGCAGCCCTGAGAAAGTCGTTGGAGTCCTAAGTGGCAGAAGCAGGAATCCTGAAGCTGGTGAGGTGGGTGGGAGGCAGCAGTGGGACCTGGGGGCTGGGACTTTGGACAGGTCATCTCAAGTCTCTGCCCACCTGGAGTGGGACATATGTACATTGCTCTCATAAAGCGAAACCCACAGGAGTAGGAGCAGGCAGGGTGAAGGACATGCCTCCATATTCCCAATGTGCTATCAGACAAGTCACCAAAACTCCCCTGAGCCTTGTTTCCTAGGTGGTGACCTGGGACTAAGTGGCTCATTAGCGCACTGCACTCAGAACAATGCCAGGCCCCAGGAAGTGCCCAGGATATTCTAGCTGTCCTATGTCGTGCAAAGTTGAGGCTGGGACCCCAGTAAGGTGTGGCCTGGTCTTCCTGTAGGCTTGCAGGGTGGCCATGAAGTTCCCTTGGATAGCCTGCTGCCGGCAGACCACTTTCAGGTCCCGCAGCAAGGCTGCATGGGCTCTCTCAGGCCGCATAAGCAGATGGGGTGATGAACAGATACAAATAAGAGTCCTTCTGTTCAAGTCACAAGCTCCATGACTCTCCTGACCCCACCACCACCTCGCCCTGACATATGTGCAAATAGGGTGCTAAGTAAAGATGGTCCTGCGTCCTGGCAGCCTGTCCCCTGTGTAAGCAGGTACACAGAACTCGGGTTTAAGAAGGTCACAGCACGGAGCTAGTCTTGCAAGACTGTGTACTGCAACCCCAGCGCCTCAGTCGCTCAGTCTAAACCATCTGATCTTCTCCAACTCCTCCAGTGGTCAGGGACACAGCAAAGCCCCCTTAGAGTCCCACGGATACTGGAGTCCAGCCCAGCCCTGGGAAGAGTTGTATGTCCCTGATCACATCATGACAGCCCCCCCCCCCAAACACTGCCTCCTCCTAGCTGGGTCTGAACCCTCAGTTGTCAGCATGACTATGGCAGCAAGAACACAAGATGAGGGACACTCTGGAGACCAAAATATAAGAAGTCTCAAAATCCCTTCTCAATGGAGTCCACTAGTTTATTCTGGGATGGGATGATTGAGGATGTTCATTCATCCGTTCTTCTCTTTGACTTTTCTATTATGTATTTCTATAACAATATTGAAGAATGATTAGAAGGTATAAAGGCAGTAGGCCATAAATAAATAACTTATTTATTTTTTCTTATTTCTGTTTTTAGAGACAGGGTTTCTCTGTGTAGCCCTGTCTATCACGGAACTCTGTAGATCAGGCTGGTCTTGAACTCACAGAGCTCTGCCTGCCTCTGCCTCCCTAGTTCTGAAATTAAAAACAAGCTCTGCCGCACCCGGCCTATGAATACCAATCTTGAAGATAAGAAAGGGCTGAGGCTGTAAACGAAGGTCACCAATGTACTTGTGTCGTCTGTGAAATCTCAGGGCCCATCTGCTCAGGATGGCACCTGCCAGAGTGAACTGGGCCCTCCCATGTCAATCAGCATTCAAGAATGTCCAGCATGCCTCACAGCTGGGCATGGTACTGCATGCCTTTGAGCCCAGAACTCAGGCCAGCCCAGTCTGCATAGTTAGTTCAAGGACTGCCAGGGATGTGTAGAGAGACCCTGTTTCAAAAAAAGAGGAAAGAAAGAAAGAAAGAAGGAAAGAAAAGAAGGAAGAAAGGGAGAGAGAAGAGAAGAGGAGAAGAGGAGA